CGCCCTGTACTGGGCTTTGAAGTCATGATGACCCACTGACTTTTATGTGATGAAGCTGCTGTTGCAGTGCCTGACCCCATGCAGGTCCATGCAACCCAGCCTGGCATCCTGTGTTTCCATATGGCCCCAACCAGGTTGCTTTGAGCTCTCAGTCCTCTAGAAGTAGGGTCCCCTGAGGCACCACAACATAGAAAAGGCCATATAGAGCCCTGTTGGAATATGTGCATGCACAGCTTTGGACAGCCACTGGAGACCTGCTGTCTCCTTTACTGAATTCTGAGCCATTGCAGGTGCTCAGGATGGAGTGACCTCCATCCCATCCCACAGTAGAGTAGTTAAGAAACATGAATCATTCTGTTAATCCCATCTGCTGAGACGGGAGCTTCTAGAACTTCACATCAGTGGGGTACTGGGGACAGTTGCTCTCTGTCCCATGTTTGTTTGGAGAGTGCATTGATTTGGGCAACTGTATTTGTTCCTGATATCTGCTCAGCTCCTGCAGGAAATGTTGTTTATATCAACAGAGATGGCAACAGGCTGGGCTTAGTCATCTTGACTAGATGGCACAGTCAAGGAGACTGTGTTGCAGAATGATCATCCCTGATTCCCAACAGAGCAACTAAGAGCTTGGGCTTGAAAGTCAGTCATCCAGGCCCATATTTGAATCCAGATGCACATTTAACAGTTGGTTGACTTGGGTAAGTTACTGCGCTTTTCCAAAAGTGTTTCCTTATCTGTAAAAATGGAGATAAAGGGACATGAGGAAACTTCAAAGAGAGAATAAATGCAAAGGGTAGGCACACGGACTGCAGCCTGGTAAGCACTTGGTTAATACTAACAATAACTATTTTTCTTAATGGTGAGAGTTCCCACCAGGAAGCAAAAATAAGCTGTGGCCGAAACATTGCTAAGTGTTCATCTGATTCCATTTTACTTTTTGCTTTTTAAGTACTATAGACTTGAGGACTGTCTATGATTAGGTCGAGGTCAGATGGCTGAGTTTTGACCAATGGGAGGTGGATGCAAATGATGCACACCACATCTAGGCCTGATCTTTAAAAGGTTCCGACTTCTGCTCTCTCCTTCATTTGCACAGCTAGAAATGAAGAATCCGGAGATGTCAGAACCACAGGATAGAAGCAGCTCAGGTGTTTGAGTACCTGCTGGGAGGTGACATGACAAGAGAACAGCCCTGTACGGGACTTAGTGGGAGTGAGAAATTGTTATTATATTGAGACATTGACATTTCAGGGTTTATTTGTTACTTCAGCATAACATAGTCTGTCCAGACTAATTCACAAACACTAGTACATGGAGTGGATGGGGAGCCAGCTGGTCAAGATTCAGTGGATATTCCCAGTCAGGTAGAGAAGTGTAAATTTTTCGTCAGGATGAAAATAACTCACTATTTTACAACAAAGTTGACTGCAAATTTCCCATGCAACCTCCCACTGGAACCAGACAGTTGTGCCAGGAAGAGACAAGTCTTGTGACATGAATATCCCTTTGTTTGCACTTTCTGGTCTTCATATAGCAACGCTGCTGTTCCACTTCCATACCCCAAACTTTGCATGATTCTGTAGATTAAGAACATCCTCTCCATAAATTTCAATAAATTGGCAGGGAATTTCTGCAGCGGAAACATATTCTCATTTAAAACTGCACATCATGGCATGTATCTTTGTCTGGGGACCACCTGTTGAAGGAAGCAGCCATCTGTACACAAAGTCATAAAAGATCACATTCAGTCCATGTTAAAACATGGCCATACATGTTTAACAAAACATCATGCTCCCTGGATCGTGGCTGTCCTATGCCAATGGAACCAGAAATGAATCCTGTAAAGCTCTAATGTGAAGAACCAAGGGCCTTTGCAGATACCGTTCTCTCTGCCCAGAATGCTCACTTTACATATGGCTAGTCTTCATCTTCAGATCTCTGCCCAAAAGTTACCTCTTCAGAGATGCCTTCCCTGAATGCTCTTTCTACAGGAGGTAGCTCCCACCTTACTTCTCTATCTCTGCACCATATCCATTTCTTCCATAGAACTTACTATATGTAATTCGGGGAGGGGGGTTGTATATGTAACTTATTTCACTAGACCCAAGTAACTGGGAAACTCCCCAACCTCTAGAATTCCGGGTATATGAAATGATAAAGCCCCTGTAGTGTTTAAGCCAATTTCAGCTGAATTTTCTGATATTATAGCTGATTTTACAGCTAAAATCTTCCTAACAAATATTTCTTCTCTTTATAGTATTACTACTACTATCTTCCCTACTATTATCTGTATAAATTAAAAATCCACTATGTGCCAGGCACTGCGTTAAGTACTTTATTTCATTTAATCTTCACAATAACTCTGAAAATTAGCAATTATTTAATGCTACTATATGGGTGAGGAAATTGAAGCCCCAAATGTAAAATTAACATCGTTGGCTCTGAATTCCTTCCTTTGGTGAACTGTCCTCCCACATTCTGTGTGATTCCATGTCATTCAAATATACTGCAAGGTGGGTATATGATCCAGGCTGGCCAATAAGAGCACTTCTCCACCCAGACTCTGTGATGGGCCAGAAGGAGACACATGACCCAAACAAAGACAATCACAGTCCTTCCTTGTTACATAAATGCTAGGACATTAAGACCTATCTGGTTGGGGGATCACACTCTCAAATAACGTCATAACCCTGCTTTGGCCAGGAGCTATCTTGCTGCCATGTGGAGAGGGCATGCTAAGAATAAAGCCTCATCCAAGGAGAGTGAGTGAAAAGGAGGCCAGTGAGATCCCTTGAACTCCTGGATCCAACTGTGCCTGAGACACACACCTGGGCTTCTCGGTTCCATGAAGCAGTAAATTAGTCATTACTTAGCATGGTCTGAGTGGATTTCTGCCATTTGCTACTGAACAAAGATGGAGAGGGCATTATGTAGAAGTTAAATACACATTAGTTCTCTCAACTTTTCCTCCTTAAAGTGACCACTGCCCATTAACCCCACAACAGTTGACAACATGTCAGCTGCTGCCACTACAAGCAACCCTATTTTTTCACTATGTCACATTTGGTCCAGCCTCTAGGCCATGCACAGGCTGTTCTTTCTGCCTGGATAGAGAATTATGTCTTTTCCAAGGTCCACACTTCTAAGCAAATATACTCCACAAATGACCTACAGCGCCTCTACCTGCAAATGACTGCCCATTTGCTAGTGGGGGCAGGGGCTATAGTAAGAATTAAAAGCCCACAGGTCTTTAAATGTCCTATTTTAAGTCAGTGAATATTGCCCTGCCAAGAAAGGACTATTGTTTCTCATTCATATTGAGTTTTATATTCAAGGTAACTTCATAGAATTTCTCTCATTCCTTCTTTTTCTTACCCCTGTTAGAGTTGGGTAAGAGGGCAATGAATACACCCATTAGACAGATGAGAAAGCTGAGTTCCAAAAAGGTGTAGCAACTTAACTCAATTGCAATTATCAAGTCCAGACTGAACTTGGAATTCTTCCCACCTCGGCCCAACCTGAGAGGCACCAACATGTTCTAATTTGGCAAGCCACAATTATAAGCATCCATTCCCCAACCTCCTACCATACCCAGCACCTGGTCAATTTGGACAACTAAGCCCTATCAGGTTAGGTTACCAGATAGTATACAGTATGCCCAGTTAAATTTGAATTTCAGACAAATTTTTTTTTTTAGTATAAGCATGACCCAAATATTGTCTGGAACACACTTATACTGAAAAATTATTCATAGTATATGTGAAGTTCAAAGGTAACTAGGTATTCTATAGTTTTATTTGCTAAATATGGCAATGCTACATCAGATGTTCTTCCAGTAAACTAGAAAAGGGGTGCAAGTTGTAATTTATTTGGAAAGTCAGACTTTTCTGGCATGGATCCTATAATACTACTATTCTGTGCACAGCATCACTCTCTAATGTTTGATACTAGGGTAGGGTTTGACGTCACTTGATATTATGGCCAGGATCCAGGAACTCTTCAATCTTGTTCTATGATGCACCTCTCCTTCCAAGAGCTTTGTGGAGGGTCTATTTGCACAAGAAACAGTGACAAAATGGGACTCAAGATACTATGTCATTCTAGGCAGAGCCGCGAGTGGCCTTCCCCATTAGGAAATCATGACCCACTGATCTTGGACTCTGATTAATCCCAATCAGATTAGCAACTTCCTGCCCTTGGGATAGAAGGGAGTGCCTAGGGAAAGGGCAGGCACAGGAAACTGCAATGTGGGGGAAAAGCGTGGCTGAGTGTTAGCCTTTGATGACGTCTAGAGTTCAGAACTAAGGAACCTGGTGAGTAGTCTCTTTTGGAAACCAAGACTGAGAACATGTAAATTTGGAAGCTATGGGATAAGCCAAGGTAGGTTCCACAATCAGGGAGGAGAAAGCCAGGGTATAAAAGGAGAAGAAAGCTGATACGCAAAGAGAAGCAGAATAGAGGGTATACTGTCCTCTTTAATCCACCACTCCAATTCTTAATTCCAGCTGCACTGCAAGCTGCATTTCCTCTTCTGAGAACTTCGAATAAATTCCCTTTTGTGCTTAAGTTCATCTGGGTAGGTGTCTGTTACTTATATTGATTCTGTCACTTACTTGACTAAGAAAAACCACCAAATAAAGAAGCAAGCTCTCTGGTTCAGTTCATTGCAATTTATTTAATTTAAAAATAAAAACAGAAACAAAAACCAAAATGAAACAAAAATCAGTTTCCAATAAAAATACAAACACTTTGGGTAGTTATCCAGCTTTTTTTTTCCCCTGTAGGCTGTTCTGGGCTCAAACCAATCAAATGAGTGAAAACCAATTTTGACAGGAGCCATAAAGCATGTTGCACCAATTAAATTACACCAATATATTATTATAATACCTTTGAAATGCCTTTCAGACCAATAAATAAAAAAGACAAATTCAAATAAAAAAAGTCAACTTTTTATTACCAAAAAAAAAAAAAAATAGAAATTAAATAAAAGTCACAACGTGGATTTTTTTTTTTTTTTTTTTTTAATGTGCAGTCAAGTTTCTCTCTTTTTTTCTTCTAGGAATGATACCATGCCAGTAAATCCCTACAGAACATTTCCAGTTTGGCAACAAGCAGTCAGTCGATCATTCACATTTGTACTCAAGACAGCAGGCCTGGGCAAAACTCGCCTGAATTTCACCCTGAAAAGTGCTCCCCATCATCTGAAGAAGCAGCACCTGGTAACAGGGATGGCAATTCAGAGGGTACTTAGCATTTTCATTTCACCTGGGGTCTTGAAGCACTTCCTGAAAACTGATCGTGCCTTGAAATTTACCTGTAAAAAGAAGTGTAATTCTACCCCTTTGGCAGATGTGTAAACTAAGACGGTGCAAGGCCCACAGAAGCAAGGAGAGGACCAGGAAAGCTGACAGCGAATCTCCTGCTTTGTCCATCAGGTCCTAAAAGTGTCTCTCACTTGTAATTCCACGGAAGCGAATAAAGCATAACTTCTTTGACTGGGATTGGCTGGTAGGGATGACAGGACTTAATGATGAAGCAGGGAGCTGCTTTAACGGCTTTTCCCTCTATTGCAAGTTTTTCCTTGAAAGGACAGTCAACATCACACCTAGAATCAGAGGATGTTGGCAGTGTCAGAGCTAAGCAGGGCTTCAGGGACCAGCTAATTCATCCTTCCAGCCCTCACTGGAAGGAAAACTTAACCACCACAAACAATGCAGATGCCTAAGGCCACCTATGACTTAACTCAGAGTCTCTGCCTCTGAGTGGAGGACTTTCTCTGCCATAGTCCACTGGCTGAGTTTCCTGACGAAAGAGAACACGTGTTTGAGAGGAGGAAGAAGGGAGTAGACTGACTTTCCTCAATAGTGTCATTTTTATTTAAAGACTAGAATGATGGAAAATACTAAACAGACTCAATCACTTGGCAAAAGGAAAAAGGACATCAACCAGTAGGTTGGTGCTAGATCTAAGTCATACTGACAGCTAAGGACACGGCCAGCTGCCGTGCACAAGGGGCCAGCAGGGCAGCAGCATAGGCTATTCAGAAAAGCCAGAATGAAATGAGGCAGGAAGTAGGGAGCTCAGAGTTGCAGGTTGCCCTCCATGCACCCACACCCCCACCCCCCCCCCCCCCCACCCCCCCCCCCCCCCACACCGCCCAATTTTTTTTTTTCAAATTTTTTTTTTTTTTCCCTTTTAACCTCTATTAGAGTTCAGGAAGGAGGTGGAATTGAATGAAAGGAAACTGAGCAGCTTCCCATAACACACTGCTCAGCTCAACCTGAAGGAATGCACAAGCCAAAACACCAGAGCCGGTGGCAAGGGGAGAAACCAAACTGTCTCCTTAAGGAAAGGGCAACTCCATTCTAATGCACTTTCTTAGCACAGTAAGGTGAATTTTTTCTTCTCTCTCTACGAACTATTTTTTGTTGGTTTTTCCAAAGATGTTCCCAAGACCAGTCTCCCTGTCTATCTACATGGCTACCAGTGGTGGCCATCTTGAAATGAGTTCAATTTGCCTTGGCCAGCAGAATCTGAAGTCATCCCAAAGAGACTAGGAAGTCCAAACCTAGAATCCTGAAGGTGTCCCATGGTTGGAGTGGCATCTTGTCATTGTGATCCGGGTGTTTAGAAATTACATATCTAATGTTTTTTTCTTTGTTTTTTTCTTTTTCTTTTTTTTACTTTTTAAGATAAGAGTCCTGCTGCACGTCTTTTCTACCTCCCCCAGAACCATCTGGGTGACATCTAAGGAAATGTTCACTCTCTTACATGCTTCCTCCCAACCCCCTGCACTCTTTCAACACCTTATTCATTTAAATGAATGGAACTTTCTTTTCCCCCAAAGCCCAGGAGTTCATGTCAAAGTTTAAAACCATGACATAGAATACTTAGATTTGGGTGAAAAAAGCACCGTCTACCTGATTTTCCTTTCCTCATCCCAATATCCCACCTACATCTAACTCCCTAGAAGCAAACTTGTCTACCTCTGAGGATGCTACACTCAGTGGATGGGGAAACCATTTGTCATTGGTGAACAGAGCCAATGGTTGAGCCAGGTAATCCTCTGGAAACTATGGACAGTAGCACGTCCAACTCAAAGCATCCATGCATGTGAGAACCCAAGAGGCAGCATTCCAGTTAATATTGAGAAAGAAAGGGACAAGTTGCCTCTTGTTGGTGCACATCAACTTCCATTCATCTGCGCAAAGATCACAGACCATCTTGTGCCCTGTCATATACAATAGTTTTTACCTCTGACACCATCATCTTTCTCCCTGTCCACACTCAAGAGGTTGTGCTGTAGAGCAAGGCAGACATCAGGAAAGAGGAGGTGAACAGCAAGGAGCTAAATCACCATGGGCTGACTCTATGTCCTTAGCAAAGTTCAGAGTATTCTCTCTCTGACCAAGGCCCTGTCTTTCATCAAAGTTGAGTAGCAAATTAACAAATGCCTCACCAGTGGCATGAAAGAGTTAACATAGATCCCACAGGATGACTAAACCTGATTCCGAGGGCCTAGCCAGATCAAAGATGACAACTACATAGCATTAGTGCTACTGCTTCGCTTCCCTTCCCTTTCCCGTGGTAGCCATTACTAGTCAATCACAGCACTCCTTCCCCATGATGTGGGCCACTCACACCAGCACAACCGGCAGCCACTATTAATTGATCATCAACTCAAGCTCAAGTTGCTGAAATCTACTTGCCAGCTCCATGCAGCCAGACCTAGCTGGCTAATGCAAGGAGAAAAGGGGCAAGTTCTTCGGGCTCACCCAAGGCAAACAGCCCAAGTGTCTCCTGCCCCTCCTCCAGAAGCATTTGGATAACTTCTAAGGAAATGCTCCCTCCCCATATGCTTCCTCTCTACCCACTGAGTGCCAGTCAACACCACCTCTCCTGGACAGCTGGTCCTCTAGGAGGTGCCATAAAGCAAATGCCAAATAGGGCCCAAATTCTGACTGACAGTTGTCAGAACTGGCAGAAGAGCCCACCCCTCCCATTTAAGTGTTGGCTCAAGGCTGCAAACTTGGCCAAGTGAGACAGTGCCAATCCTTTTTCAGTCTGTTGTCATGGCCAGCAAAGAGGTAACCAGCCTATGAGCCCAAGTCTTGCTCCCCTTCCTCCCTCGTACCCCCACCTGCCCCCGGCGCCCTGGAGTGCTAGTTGAGCTTGCTGCAGATCTCCAGCGCTTGCTTGTAGACCTGAGTCACATCATCCATGTCTGCGAGGAGGGAGAAGCTGCTGTCTGCCAACCGGTTCCGGTACCGCTTCAGGTACTGGGGCCGGGGCCGGTTCTGGAGCCCCTCAAAGTCCTGGATCTGGAGGAAGTTTTCTGCAGAGACGCAGCTGCGGATGCGCTGACGGGCGGGGCGATTCTCCTGCAAATCCAGCAAGTCGAAAGAGTCGCTGGACAGCACGCTGTCATCGCTGATGACACTGGAAGGACGGCTGTAGCTCCGGGAAAGGCCCTCGGCAGGGACACCAGGCTCCGACAGGGATTCCAGTGCGGGCATTTCAGGGCTGACCAGGGCCAGGTCCATGGCGCCCGCTGAGTATTTGCTGCTGTGTTTCAAGATGCCCTTCCTCCGGCAGGAGAGGCTGTGGGAGGTCACCCTGGCTGGGTCTGGGGGGCTGGGGGAGGGGACGCTGCTGCCCATCACATCATTACTGTCCAACAGCTCCGAAGACTCGCTGCGCTCTGGGGAAGAGTAGTAACCTGATTCTCTCTGCTGGGTCTTTTTCAAGATGCCTTTCTTGGGCATCGTGGCCGACTGCTTGGGGCTGAGTTTTCCCGGCACCTCTGCCTCTGGTGAGCTTGGGAGGAGCACACCCGTCCTGCATAAGTCCTGCTCCATCTTGAAAGTAGAGGGTAAGGCAGGACCAACTACACCTTCAATGAAGCCAGTGCTGTGAGAGCGATGCTCGCTGTTGCTTCGCTTCTTCAGGATCCCCTTAGGCCTCTTAGAACTCAACTTGGATGGGCTTTCAGGCACTGCATCCAGACCAGACTGAGCAAAGTCATTCTCTTTCTTGGATTTCTTCAGCGACCGCTGCCGTTCTAGCATGACCTCAGAGGTCGTGGGTTTGACCAGGCCCTTCATTTTGGCTTCGGTGTCAGCCTGCAGCCCTGTGGAACGGTGGTGCCAGTCAATGATCCGAGCCAGGAGTGGGGACTCGGAGTCATGGAGGGCATCGCAGTCACACACGCTGCTCTTATAGCCCCAGTTCACCCACCAGTGGTTGGCAATGTCCTCAATCGTGGCCCGGCGATCGGGGTTCACCATCAGCATCCACCGTATGAGTCCTCGAGCATCTAAGGGACAAGGGACAAAAAGAATCGGGCATTACGTGGGAGCTTCTAGCTTTGTGATAGTGGGACCCTCCAGCAGTGATGAAAGACACACACTCTCTCTAGGAAAAATCCATTTGGAGACCTGGTCCAGTCACATTATGGAGCAGGATGCCCCAGCCTTTCAGACCATCCATCAAAAGCGTAATCAAGACTTGGAACAGGCTGGGGTGCCATCACATGGTGGCATGTTTTCCCTATAAGTGAGGAAATGTCATAGCGCTACGAAGCTTTTCATCATCTTGAATCTTTAGAAAATGTGGAAGGTCAGGTAACCAAGAAAGAATCCAGACTTGACCCCGAGAGGTGCCCCACCATTCCTTTGGCGAATATCATTTTACCAGAGGAAAAACAGGTGTAGATCACCATTGCTTTCTTTATTCCTCCACAGGTGGGCTTGTATAAACACACAGCACCTGCAGTCACTGGGAAAGCATGCCAGAGACAGAACATGGAGCGTGGCTCAGAGGCACTTACCTGACACACCTGGGCAGTAAGAGCGGCTGTCTCCGAAACTGGCCTCCCCCCAAGGTCCTGGCCAGGTTCTGAGACCAATACTCAGTGAGCTCGCCTTCTTTCCCTCTCTGACATAAGCCATCTCCTACTGAGCTGTCAGATCAGAGCAGTGATCTATATCTGCTACCCATTCACAGCCTGTCTGAAAATTCTACTTGCAAATTTCTGCTGCCAGACAATTAGGGAAAACCCCTAAAGGGATGCTGAGAAGGCCACAGGAACCAACTGACTCTCACAGCTTATAAACTGACTTTTAGGTTCAAACTGTGTTCCCCCAATTGGGGTGAATTATATTCTGGGAAGCTGCCACTTCCCCTCAGCTGCTTATGTAGGCGAATGAGAAGCTGGCAAAGGCCTGGTAAAAGGGACTGGGGCAAGAAACACCTCTGAAAAGTACCAAGATGATCATCCTCAGTCATTCAATAAGTATTTCTTGAACCCCTACAATGTGCCAGGAACCGCATTGGCATCAGTTAGCTGGTGAGGCAAAGAAGACCACTGTAGAGGTCACTCTGAATTTTTCCAAAAAGAATAGGCTGGCTTGTTGAAAAAATTATATATATATATATATAGAGAGAGAGAGAGAGAGAGAGAATGCATATCTATATATACACACATACAACAGTCTAGCCTCAGTATCCATAGGGTCTGTATTTGCAAATTTGTCTACTCGCTAAAATTTATTTGTAACCTCAAAATCAATATTCACAGCTCTTTTGCAGTCATTTTTGCATATGCACAGAGCAGCAAACAATTAGAGTCACCCCCCCCCCAACACATGTATGTATTCACAGCTAAGGTCAAACAAGGCAACACTCTGCCTTCTTATTTCAGATCTCATACTATTATACAAAGTGTCTTTTTCTCAGTCTATTTAGTGCTGTGTTTCTCACACTTTTTGGAATTTTTATTGGTGACTCCTCCATTTTAAATGACCCCCCAAAACAGTGCTGAAGCACTGTTTAGTGTTCCTAGCACAAGAAGGCTGTGATGTGTCTTATGGAGAAGATAAGTGTGTTAGATCAGCTTTGTTCAGGCATGAGTTACAGTGCTGTTGGTTGTTGAGTTTGATGTTAATGAACTAATAATATAGATTAAATAAGGTGTCTTTAAACAGAGACACACATAAAACAAGGTTATATATCAATCAGTTGACAAAAATATTGTGAGCAGAGGCTCTCAGGAATCTAACCCTCCATTTCCCCTAGGAGCAATAGTTCAGTATTCACAAATTCAGTGTTTCTAGCAACTTTATAGAACATAACTACTATGAATAATGAGAATCAACTGTGTATGTGCAGATATACATATATATGTGTGTATATATATGCATGTGCATAGTATGTATATAAATGAAGTGCCAATGTTAACTTCATTTTTTAATAAAAATGACCAATGATGACCAGCTGTACACACTCCCTGTACAGGCATAATACTTCCCATCAAGAGATGGAGCTCATGACCGTGGTTGTCTTGACCAATAGAACACAGCAGATATGACACAATCTGGGTACAAGCGTGGACATAGCACTGGCACTCCAGCCTGGGCAACAGAACAAGACACTGTCTCAAGAAAAACAAATTTTAAAAAAAGAAAGAAGGCTCAGCAACTTTTTATTCCTCTTTCTAAGAACCCCTTGCTGCCACTGTGGGGTGGCACCTCAGAGAGCATCGAGGAAGATCCACTGTTCAGCCCCAGCAGCAGCCCCAGCTGCCATCTGCTTACAACTGTAGGAAAAACCCCAGGGAAGGCCAGAAGAGCACCTCCCAACCCACAGGAGTGAAAGAGATGATTTCAAGGTTGTGTAAACCACTGAGTTTGTTTTGTGGGGGCAGATGGGGTAGAGTTGTTATGCAGAAATCAATAATGAGACAGTGCCCATGAGCCATACCCTATGCCAGTGGCACAGTAGTGAGAGACAGAGCAGTGGCCACCCTCACAGTATTTACATTCTGAGGTGGGTGGTTTCTATGTCTACTCAGACTGGGAGAGACCTCGTCTAATACCTTTTCCAAAATTTGTATTTATGGTGGAGAATCTGAATCCAAAGAGCTTAAGCGACTTGCCCAGATCCACACAGCAAGCAAACAGGACTCCTAGAATGTGTGTTCTGAAAAGTTCCTTTGGGAAGGTTTGGGGAAAGCAGCCTAACAAGCAAGCTTTGCCAAGGATGATGCTTCTGGGAAGAAGAAAGAGGAAAACCAGGAGACTCCAGACAGACATACTAAAACAAAAGCACAAAATGAGAGTGGGTAAACAGATCTTTCTCCCCTCCACCTCTGGCCCTCCCTCCACAGGGCACGCACCTGAGGGCTGCGTGGGCTCCCGGTACTCTCCACTGCTGATCTGCCGAATGAGGTTTTTGTGATCGAAACCATCGAAGGGCATTGTTCCATAAACAAGGGTGTAAAGCAACACGCCCAGGGCCCAGCTGTCCACCTGAAGCAGAGAGACAGCACATATAGGAGCTAGGAAACAGATCCCAAGATGCCTTCCAAACCATTAGCATCACAGCCTGTAAGCAGCCACCCCCAATGCCCCCAGGAACTGAATTTAGCACCTGGAAGACAGGTTCCCAGTACAGCCTGACATCTGACAGCAATGCAGCTGGGACCTGCTACAGAGCCTGACCTTTCCATTCTGAACAGAGGCCAGTGGTCCCAATTGGTAAAGTACTTTCTTAAACAGATTATCTTATTTAATCCTCACTACAATTTTGTGAAGCAGTTAGGGCCAGGACTATTTTCAGCCCCATTTGACAGATGAGAATACTGAGGCAGGAAGAACCTAAATGGTTTCTCCAGAGGCCCTGCCCCAGCGATGGAGGTAAAACTGGGATGCGGGGCTCTTCATTCCTAATCCAGGAATCAATTCCTTCCTGCACTTTCTTCAAATGGATCAGGAATTACAAACTGAAATCTTGTAAGAGCCAAGCAAACAACAGATATACACAAAGCAAGAAAGAATTGGGGTTACGACATAGAGTGTTGGGGATGGAGACAAACTGTACAGTACATTCACCCGTCTTAGGCAGACAACCTCTGTTTAGCTAATTGCTGCCATGTAGTAATGTGGGCCCAGCACTACTAGATTCTTTGGTTTTTCAAGAGAAGTCAGAAACCAAACTTTTATATGAAATCTCCTAATTATTACATGTTTGCTCAATTTTTAAAAATAAAAACTAAGGTGGCCAAATAAAGGAGTTTGCTGACCAGATCACAGGCTGCCAGCCTGTAACCTCAAAAAACAGGTCATCAAAGACCAAAATATTCATTATCTACGAGAAATTTAGTGTTGAGTTTGTACAAGTTTGTAAATTGAGTTCTCTGCTCCTCCCTCGCATTCTTCTTTTAGAAAGACTTTCTCTTCACTGCAGTGATAGATGGTCTTGGCATCCTTCTCTTCACCCTTCAGCCCTGCCCCGAAACACTCTCAAACAGATAAATATTTAAAAGAAAACATTTCAACACACTGAGCAGCGGCTATTTAAAGGATACTGAGTGGATGAACTTCTCTGAAAAGAGAACCATCTTTCAAAAAAAGAATCATCACGCACAACTCACTCATTTTCAAAATAAAATTTCCACATACCCATATCTTACAGCGGCCCTTGAAAGCACTAGCATGTAGGGAAATGTATTTCTCATGAATTAGAAGATGTCATTAAAATGTATTTCCTTAGTCAGATATGCATGCTGCCAAAAATATACACACAAAAAAGAAATTTACTCCAGAGTGAGGCAATTCTTTGTTTGTTGTGTCTGTTTTGATATAACAGGGAAAAAACTAAATGTTTACATCTAGACATTACTAAATAAATTATGCTATATTCATCAATAAAAAGTCATTAAAATCATGTGGGTTTTTTTGGGTTTTTTTGTGGTTTTTTTTGAGACAGAGTCTCGCTCTGCCGCCCAGGCTGGAGTGCAATGGCACGATCTCTGCTCACTGCAAGCTCCGCCTCCTGGGTTCACGCCACTCTCCTGCCTCAGCCTCCCGAGTAGCTGGGACTATAAGTGCCTGCCACCACGCCCGGCTAATTTTTTTTGTATTTTTTAGTAGAGACGGGGTTTCACCATGGTAGCCAGAATGGTCTCGATCTCCTGACCTCGTGATCTGCCTGCCTCGGCCTCCCAAAATGCTGGGATCACAGGCGTGAGCCACCACGCCCGGCCGAAAATCATGTTTTTAATAATAAATTTGGAAAGTGTCACAAGATAGTTTTGATAGTAAAGGGCAAGATATTCATATGTGTGTCATATACATATGTATATCTTGCCTTTTATTAACTTAATCTCAATTAGTTTTGAAATGCAGAGATCTACATTGGGAAAAGTTTAAAAGTCACAAAAGTATTAAGTGATTCTCTTTTGTGGGGGGATGGCAGGTACCTTTATTTTCTCCTTTAGGCTTTTCTGGGTTTTCCAAATTTCCTCCCAGGAGTATATATTATTGCTTTTATAATCATATAAGGAAAAGTTTTCCTTGCTTGCTTTTTTAGGCTCTGTTTTTTTAAGCATTTCTCAAATCCAATTTTTGCCCTTCCTCCCTCTTCTCCCTCCCCTCCCCCGCCCCATATGCATCGGGCAAGCTGCTCACCTCTGGCCCTCGGTAAGGTCTCCCATTGACAATCTCAGGAGATGCATAGAGTGGACTCCCACAAAACGTTTGTAAGAACTTATCCTTCTGGTACAGGTTGGAAAGCCCAAAGTCAGCAATCTACAAAGAGAAGCAAGACCCAGGGAGACTTGTTAGCATTCCAGATTATGTCTGTGTTGAATCAGTTCACACCACACAGCACACAGAGTGGATGAACGGCACCTGGGTTGGTCTGCTGGCTGGATCGCCATTTTCTCTCCAGCCCTGAGTCTTCATAAAAGACCACTCAGCCCAAGCAGGTCCGTGTTTCCTAGCTGCAGTCCTTGGCATCCATCACAAGTTCTACCAAATCTGCAGACTACAAGCTTTGTGACTTACTTAGAAATTACTCTTCAAATGGACGCTCTATTTAAACTTTAATTTAGACTTGCTCTGAGAAATAACATTCACAAAATCACTGGCTTGATGTTTCTGATGAACTTTAAAGCGTGTAACTATTAATTTAGGAATTCTCCCTCTGTGGTCTACCCAATCATACTGCATCTGCAGTGGCGTGCATATCACACTGCGGAAACCCCTGACCTACGCAACTGGTGATACCACCTCTGTGTCCACTCACACCCCGATCAGAACTGTATTTTGACTGTCTTGTGACCTGAGATGAAATGGACTAATTGACTCACAGCATTGGGTTTTGAGTCATCATATTTCAGCCCAACTCTGCACCTATCCATCTGTTACTCAGTGACCTTGAGCCTCAGTTTACCCACCAGCAAATGGGAATCCATGATCCCTTCCCTGTTCTAGCTCACAGGATTATCATAAGAATAAGAAGAAAAATAAATCAATCGAGATGAGACCTTGGCCGAGCAGATCATTTGAGGTCAAGAATTCGCGATCAGCCTGGCCAACATGGAGAAACTCCGTCTCTACTAAAAATAAAAAAATTAGCCAGGCATGGTGGTGCATGCCTGTAATCTCAGCTACTCTGGAGGCTGAGGCATGAGAATTACTTGAACCCGAGAGGCAGAGGTTGCAGTGAGCCAAGATCGCACCACTGCACCCCAGCCTGGGCCACAGAGGGAGACTCAATCTCAAAAAAAAAAAAAAAAAAAAAAAAGATGAGACTGTGAGTGTAAAAGTGCTTCATAACCTTCAAGTTTCATGCAAATGTTTCACCTAGCCTTGTTTCCATTGTACTCCACAGTCCTTGGAATCATTCTCTTCTCCTTTGGTTTCTTGAAATGTTTTATGTGTTATTCATGACAGCATTTTTACATATATATATATATGTATATGCACACATATATATGCATATATACGTACATATATATATTTGCTTTCCCTACCAGACTCTGAGTTTCCTGAGGCAGTTGGCAGGTTCCACATCCTCCCCTTAACTTTGTGTCATCCACTCCTTAGCACCCGCCCATACCCAAGAAACACTAGTCACTGGAACAGGCATTATATTTTGAAAAGCGCATGATGATTAATACATAATGCAAAATAATAATAATAATGATAAACTTAATTGCCACTTTTTGAACAACTTCCAGTTATCAGGTACTGCTCCAAACACTTTAAATTCTTTAATCTAATCTTAACAAAAACCTGGTTTACACAGCAATGTGAATGCATTTTATGCCTAAAAAAGGTTAAAATAGTCAGTTTTATGTTATGTCCACTTTACCGCACATTTTTTGAAAAATTCATTTAACAGATGAGGAAATGGCGGTTTAAGGACATGAGGTTACTCATTTAAGGAGATGAGTAACTAATATGCAGCAATATAAACCCCCGTGTCTCTAAAGCTTCAAACCACAGTGCCACCCTTCCCCTGGGTCACCTGCATATTTCACTCCAGTCTAAGTCAACCTTGCAAGCTGAGCCCCTGTGCGTTTCCATCATTCTCCAAGCTGATTTCCATTTGAGGCTTGGAAAAGAGCTGCATGATTCACATGCCCAGAGACAGCCCAGCCTGAACACCACCGAGGCTCTGTTGTGGTCACAGCCCCTAGAAGCAGCCTATTTTGTAAAAGTCATCCCTGAATGAACGGAATGTCATTGAAAGCAGCTGGTGTACAACCATCCTCAGAAAATGCATTCTCTGGGCTCAGACTGCGCTTAATTGCCCTGAATTCCACTTTCTTATCAAGGCCCCTGACTTGCTTGCAGGAAGTTGGTTGGAAGCTTTATGAAGTGTGCCCTGTCAATCAGAAGAGGCATGGAATGGCTACACACAGGAAAACGCGTTCTCTTCCCGCCTGGCAGCAGTGCCTGGGGCACCAAATGAGCTTCACGTGCTTGTGAGAGGCACCCACTGCACATGTGCACACTCACGCTGGGAGTTTTCACTCTGAATCTGGGCAGCCTCTTTTGCTCTGTAGCCGTTCTGGAGAAGTGTGTTTATGTTATGGCCCACTCCCATCCTCGCAGACTGATGTTTATCAGCCTCTCCCAGTAAAACTGTCATTGCCACTGACACAAGATTAATAGAAATCCAGATTAGCCTGTGTTCTTGGCAGTTCGAAGGGAAAGCAGTATTAATCAACACACACACACACAAACACACACACACACACACAGAGAGCATTCTCAAACCTTGAGCCATTGAAACTTAGGCTTCGGCTCCAAGATTTAATGCCATATGGAACTTATATCAACTACTGATAGGAGGGGAAATGGCCACTGGTTATGAAACCTCTCTGAAGCTTCAGTTTTCTCATCTGTAAAATAGTGTTAGGAAGAGTGTCTATCCCTACTGTGCCATGGCAGAGATTAAATGACAAAAAGTATGTAAAGTCCTTACAACAGTAATTGGCCCAGAGTTGGAGCTCAATATATATTTGCATCCCAACTTTAAATCCAGAGAGTTAATTACCTTCATTATACTAGAAGCAGAGTTTATCCCAATGCCAGGGACTCTTGACAGTGAAGAAATACAGACATTTTAGATGCCAAATAATAATGGAATTAAATAACGTTGAATAATAAAATGAGAAATTCATTCCTTTCTGGATTCACCTTCAGTTCTTTGGATTAAGTCAAGGAGAAAGTCTCGGTTGGGCACTGGTGTGTCTTCAGTATCTCTTTAGTATTTATTAAAGAGACCAGGCCTCGGGCCTAGCCTGCAGCAGCAACCAACACGAAGTTGGAACTTCATAATGCTATTTGGTTTCCATTATACTTAGTTTTGAGCTTATTCTTGGTAAGTGATTCTGGTTTTCCACTTAAGGTAATTATTTAGGGTTTCTTTTTCAAATAGACAGAATTTTAAAGAGTGACCTGAACGCAACAAAAATATTAAGTAAAATAGCAGTGAGGATACTGCGGAAAGGTAAAATCCATGAAAAGGATGAAAAACTGAAATTTGAGAAATATTGATTTTAAACATCATAAAACAAAAATAATTGCAGCTCAGAATTACTTTGACCTGAAAGACCCCTGAGAGATGTTAATCCTGCCCCTCGCTCTAAAAGTGAAGCAGCTGAAGGTTCCAGGGCATAAGAAGTTTTGCTGAAGGTTGCAAAAAAGGGCAGCAAGTACATGAAGGAGCGCATGGATCTTCCCAAGCCGTACAGTTTCTCCAACAGAACATCAGCTGTAAAAGGAGAGGATGACTTTCCAGCAACGAGGCGACTGGGCTGTAGTATTTTGCTGACACACTAGCAGGTAAGCCTTGGAGGAAGGTACCTAGCTGGCATTTTCACTTGTTGTTTTGACTGTTCCCCTGCTCTCTATACCGGTTCAGAACCACCTTCTGCCCCTGCCCTGTGCTTCAGTTCAGTCTCGAGTCTCAAAAGGAGCCGTGGAACTCAAGGCTTGGGTCCTTAATATTTAGAGTTTTTATTGTTATCAAGCCTTTCCGGAGGTGCTCCCTGCTGCATGAAAATTGGGGTTAGAAAGATAAATGAGGAAGTGATTATTCATTCATGTTTCAAAAGGATTAACCTCACTACAACACAGATGAACCCTGAAGGCGTTACGCTAAGTGAAATAAGCCAGACACAAAAGGACACATATTATATGATTCCATGTACATGAGGTCCCTAGAGTAGTCAAATTCATAGAGATGGAAAATCGAATGGAGATTGCTAGTGGCTGGGAGGAGGGGGAAAGCAGAGTTACTGTTTAGCGGGGACAGAGTTTCAGCTGGGAAAGGTGAAAACATTTTAGAGATGGATGATGGTAATGCTTATACAACAATATGAGTATACTGAATGCCACTGAACTGCGTACCTAAAACTGGTAAGTTTCATGTTACATATATTTTACCACCATAAAAGGATTAACTCCAGAACAGTGTTAATAATGAGCTCATCTGGTGAAAACTAAGTGTCACCTTGCTGACATTAACTGATAGGAAAGGACGCTGATGGCAATGATAATAATTAGTGATGGTCTAACAGTCATGTGCAGTGTTTAAGAGGAAGTGTGGTGCACTCCACAGATCAGATGTTTTGGGGCCAGGAGAACTTGGGGTTAACCATGGCTTTGTCGTTACTAGGCGATGGGTGGGACCTGCCAAGTCACTTGAGTTCCTTATCTGCAAAATGGGACTCAGACTAGAACCCACCTCACATAGGTAAGAAGAGTAGAGAAAATGTATGTAAAGCTCCTAGAACGGTCCTGGGACCAGCTGACGCTATAAATGAGAGCCATTATGGTAGGCTGATGGTTTGGCCAACTTCACAATTGTTTGTTAGACCAGGTAAATGGGGAACCGAAAGCATTAAAGCCACTGCCCATTAAAGAGCCAGGAGATCTTATCACTCGTTTATAACAGAGGCATGTCCAGGGTGAGAAGCTGCATTGTAGGATGGGAAAAGGAAAAGATTCAGGGTTTGAGTACTTGAGTTCAAATCTCAGCCTCACCTCTTACCAGCATCTAACCGAAGGCACTTTAGTTAATCCCACCCCACTCCAATCTGGCCCACGGACCAGCAGCATTAGCATCACCTGGGAACATTTCAGAACCTGAGCCACTCAGGCCCCACCCCAGATCCACTAAAACTGCATTTTAACAAGAGCCCCAGTGTATAATACACACTTGCACATTAGCCATTCTGAGCCTGCATTTCTTCATCTGTAAAATGGAGTTGATGATAATAATGTCACCT